GTATCTAAATCAACCATTCCTGAAACTTTCCTCTTTGGCCAATGCGACTGGACCAAATGAACAGACTTTTGAGTTTGTATCAAGACAATATGTGCTATAGTTGTTATTGTTACCATACAAAGATGCAAGATGGACATATTTGGTCTGATTTCGTTGAGCAAAGACAAAAATTTCAAGAATGGTTGACCTAGATGCCCTGATGAAGGCTCACTATATGGTAATCTTACAGAATCAGATATTTTTGCCTAAGGAGAGGGTGCACAGTTGAGAAAATTTGAAAAATAGATTCTAAATATACCTTTGTCATTCAATACAAGGATAAGCTACAGATACGCGGATACCATTGCCAAATGCAGAACAGTTTGACAAGACTAGTGCACCGATAAAAGTTCAAAAATTCATTTCGCTTCCATAGAAATAGTTGAGCCCAAAAGAACATCCCAATATGACAGTACTCTTGTATTTCCAGAAAGGCAACATGCTAGAGATGGAAAACATCTGCTACATAAAAAGACCACATGAACGAGTAATATCTATGATGAAATTTACAACCTTACTTTTTTTGAAATAAAAGCGCTAGCTAAGGCTCAGTTGGGTTGTCAGACTTCACCTTGTTTCCCTATTCGGATCCCTTTAGAAGGTTTTTCAATTTTTTAAACCTGCGGCTATGCTTACAGACCCATGCACTCTAATGAGGAAAATTAGTATTGCATTCGTATTAAGTTGATGTGGATCTGGTGTGATTTTGAAAAGACTATCCAATGTCATCTAGTATTTTCGCTTAAAGAAATGAAGCTGAATTTCTGATCTCATTAAAATCATTGAAGTCTCTGTGTCAAAGGTATAGCTTGCGTTTATTAAGTTTTTATTTCGTTGCAATGGCAACTCTTTTTTGTGGAAGTTAAAGCTTGAGTTGTGATTGTCTAAACTTATGTTTAACTTCTTTTCCAGAATTCACTATCGTTGTGCTCAAATAGGTCACATAGGCAGAATCATCAAAGAAAGCTGAGTTGATTTATAGGTGTTTTTCAATATTCTGAAAAGCTTTGTTATAATGCGCTTCACTTACATTGGAAGCTTCTTTCTTTTTTCTGTTCGAATATCGTACTAATGACATCTATATATATTAGATATGTATTTTTTATTCTTTCCTTTCTTTTTCTTCATCATAAGGTACTTTCCAAAAAATTATCTCTTATTGATATTGCTAAGGAATTCGCCTTCTCATTCATGTTTCTCTCTAACTTCACTTTGCTTGTTTTTTCTTAGTCCGTTAGTATGTGCAGTGACTGTTCTGGAAAAATGAAAAGATCATATTATCGATCAGTTTGGCATAAACTTAAAGCAAACACTTTTATTCTGCTTCACAACTTGTCCTGCTTTGGGCGGAATTAGATTGCTAATTCAATTAGTGTACAAGGTCGCTATTACCCAACACTCATCCTCTATTTTTAGCTTCAGAAACAAGTCGCACTTGTGTTGCTCTTTTTTCATAGTCAGAGTGACGTTTTTGAAGATATCGACTATTCGAGCTGTCTCTGGGTACGAAAGAGAAGTCATTATTATGTTATCAAGTAATTGTTAACGTGTATATTTTTCATTTCTTAGTATAGTAGCTCATGGATGATAGTTACTAACCACGATTGTGTTGTAGGAAAAATAACCTACTGTTTCCCAGCAAAACAACAGGTTACTAGTAAGATATCAACTACTTGTTACCAGTTAGCGATAGCTGGCGAAGGGTTTAACGTCAGCTGCCTGGATACCCGATAATGAATCAGTTAATAGGTATTTGGCTACGTAATAATTAGTAAGTTCTTGTTGTTAGAGCACATGAATAGTGAGTTGCTGTTAACTATCAGCCGCTTTACCAAGGAACGGCAATTGCAAACGTTAACTGATAACGTTTCTCTAACTCTCCACTCCTAATCCTAAGGGAAGCTAGGGGATACTTTTACAGCAAAATAATAGTTCTCAGAGTATTTCGAAACATCTATACGTTAGTTCAACTTACAAGCAAAAAACTTAACAGTATTTTATTACAGCAAAAGTAAAGCGTGTGACAATATAAATATGAGCAAAATTTTCTTTTTAATTATTAAATGGGAGTCTTCATATTTTGGCCATTGTCGAAAGTGAATTTATTATTATATACTATGATGTTGTTTAAATTCAAGACTATGATCATAGTACTAGATCTAGCATTATGTTACTTAGAACCTAACCTTAATCGTAATATTACAGTTAATGAGTATGTGCAGTTGATTAAATCTAATTAAAAATATCATTTCGATAACTTAACTATATGAATAGATCAAAATAGTAGTTCATTAATCACCAATTGGCTGTTTATCTTTGTCAATGTATAATGTATGAAAATGTTTTAGTTTTAAAAAACACCACAGTAGAGAACAATAAATTGATCTTCGGCAATCGCCGAAAAACTGATCGAAACACAAGGCTTCTACTTAATAATTAAGAAAAAAATTTCTTCATATTGATATCGTAACACTTTAATTTTGTTGTAATCGAACAAAAGAGTTCTAGTTTCTTGATTGTAATGATCTTGTTTACCAAAACTTTTACGCATTATCAATTAAGTTTTCTGAAATGATTCTGAATGCATGATTTCTTTGAGTATGAGTACGGTAAGTGCCTGAATAGCAGTCAAATATACGTTCAGAAAAGGAATATACTGGTATAAACTTCAATAAAAAATGAGTTGTTACAATAACCAAAGAAAAATTCGACTAATCCGAGCTATATTTTTGAAGTAAAAACTCCAGTGTTTCTAATCAGATATACAAATCAGCCGCATCACTTTACAAAATTCATAGGAATATAGAAATTCGCAGAGGAAAATCAAAAAATAACGTCTGGAGAAAAGATACTTCAAAATGCATAAGTATAGTCTAATACTATGGTTTTTTTACTCTTCTTGAATGCATACTTTCACCGCATATTTTTTGAGAAAAGTTTACAAAAAGTTTTTCTGACACTAGCTGCATGTCTTTTGGGCACATGGAATTTATATAAGATTCATCATTTGAATGGACAACGTTCATCGTATAGGTATCTGTTGAGATGATTGTGAATTTGTCGCACTATTCATATCGTTAAAGGCTTTTATAGTGACATTCATATTTTATTAAGTCTATTGTTATAAAGAAATGGCGGCATAAGGACTTGAATCAGCTTTTGAGAATTTTTCGGAACAGATGCCATTGCATGATACATAGAACAAAAGAGAGAAACCTGCCGAGCATTTTAATATTAGACTCAAGATACTTTCGACGCATTTCGTGAGATGTTTCCATATCCCGATAATAATCGGCATATGACATAGATGATGACAAAACTGACGGATACTCTGTAGAGTCCTTTGTAAGAGATATTGCAACCAAAGATCAAATTTGACAGTGTATTAGAGTAAAATTCAGTCGGACTATATTCTGGACAATCGAATGACTTTCGCAATGAATATTTTCGCTATGAAAACCCACAGAGATTTCTTTAGCCCTCCTCCTTTCCGACACTTTTGAAGATGATTCATCACAAAATTTTCAAACTTTAAGGAACGATAGATCTCAATAAGTAGAGCAAAAGTTATCACAGACTAAAAATGTACCGATGTTTCCTTCAGAAAAATATAGAGATCACAAAGGTCAAAAAAGGACCCCATAATTGCTTTCATTTCTCGGAGGAGGTATGCTTATTAAAACTCAAACTTTTGTTGACAGATGCCAAAAAACTGTAGGGTGCATACTTTTTTGGTTTCTTTTGATCTTATTCTCTTCGAAAAGCAAAGCTAAAATACGGGAACACGCTAAATAACTTAAGTGATTTTGAATAGTGCTTCTCTCGTCAGACCTACCAAAAGTCAGTGGTAAGATATTTTTTGGGGAAAAATATAGACATCAGGAATGCTGTCTTCTGCCCGTTTCAAAAAAAGGCGAATTGGTATTTCTTGAATTGCTTTTGATAAAAGCAAGACGAAGAGCTATGGTTTTCACCGTTGAAAATAAGAGATCAAGACGCATCGAATGGTATATTATAGGCTTCTCTGAGATGTTTTCTAGTTTTCATAATCAATTTTCTAAATGAATTCTGGAGAATTGGTTTCTGTTTAAATCATAAGGAAAAAGCTAAAAAGTGGTTTTTTTTTCAGAGAAGTGAATAGAAGAATCGACTAAGAAATTCGAATAAAATGCCTATAACTCCTGAACGATGAAATCTAAGAGTCCAGGCCTTGTACAGTTTTGTAAATCTCCGTTTAGCGGCTCAAATAAGAACTTAATTATTGAAAATCGCCCTTAGTCACCTTACGGACAGTGTTGATTTTTGTAAAAAGTACACCAAAATTATTTTTTAATATACAGTTAGATGCGTCTCTATTGTGATGGAGCGACTCACTCGTTCTGAGTTTATTTCAATAATGAATAACGATAATATATGAACGCAGTATATATATTACAGCAGAGAGAAAAACGAGAGAGAATGATTAATGAATAGAACATTAGAACATGATCGATGTGCCCGATCGGGGTCATGAAGAGTAGTGACGGGTAGAATCCGTCACAAACCCCTCCGCCGCGATACGAGTGCATCGGCACGAGCAAAGACAATGATAGTGATTAAGAAGATAATAGAGTAACGAATTGAAAAAAAAATGACAACTACTTTGATAGCTAGTAAATTAGAAGATGAGAGACAACATATAACATTGTATGAACTATTATGTGTTCGATTAGATAGATGAGAAAAATAATAACGCCAAATTGAAACAAATGTAGAAATGAACAACAAACATCATGAAAGAAAGAAAAAAAAATGAAATGAAGAGGAGAAAAAAAACACCAAACGAAATATACGCTCGTACACAATTATTGCTGGTGATCAATACAATTGAAACGGATAGACATAGCAAATGAGAAGAATACGCAAAGAGAAGGAAAGTAAATGTTCGATTGACGATCATTGTATATGAACCGATTATTTGACTATGATAATTCGATCATCTTGGTATTAAAACCACTTGATAATCCAGGAGATGGTTGATCGTGGTTTGGTGAGAAGACTGTCGCGTGTTCCTGTTGTTGTGTTGATGAGTTGATGGTGTTGAAGGTTGTTGACGATGTATCAGAGCGATGATTGGTGACGTGTTGACTTGTATTAGTGTTTGCTTGTGGTGCTTGACTACAGACTGTGCTGTATAAACGTGGTTTACGTTGAAGAGGTGGTCGACGGTGTGATTGAGGATGGGGTTTAGTTGAGCATGGGGGAGCATAGAATGACATAAGAGGAATTTGATTAGCAAGAGCATTGTGAAGTGGTGGTTCATTAACGTCAAGTTGTAATGACATAAGTGGTTGTGGAATTATTGTTTCATGAGATAATTGCCGTTTTAATGTTTTATTTGATTGTGCTGGTGCAATTATATGTGAGACATGTGATGCCAAAGTATCAGGAGTAGAATTTTCTTTCGATGAGGATATTGTTGATGAGATGGTAGAGGGATTAGTTTCATTGGAAGATGGTAAGAATGAGAAACGATTGACTGTGGTGGCATTTAAGATTGGAGAAAGTGTCCACGCTAGCTGAATGAGTCTAGTAGTGTGGAGTTGGGAGGAGGTGGATTCATTTATTTCTAAAAGAGTTTCAAAAAATAATTCATAAGTTGACGGTCGGAGACAGATAAGAGACCATGTAAGACGTATGACATCATCGGGATCGATATTATTGCGTCTGAGAAAAGCCGAGGATGAAGCAGAATCAAGGAGAGTGACAGTAGACAAGGCGGCCTGAAGCTGCGGATGAAGAGAGAAATAATCTTGGAGCCATTCACGGACTAAATAAAGAGTGGTGTCAATAGGAGGGAGAGAAGAGAAATTTGCTACATGAAAATTTTTAAGAATGTTCCAAATTGATGCGAGTATGGAGTCATGTTGTTGATAAAAATGCGTAGGTACCATTTTCTGCAAGGAAAAGTAATATTTTATGATTATATATAATATATTTTTTTGTTTATGTTTATTTATTTATTGAAGGATTATTATTAGGTGTTATTTAGATGATGTTTCGTGTTATTGATAGAGGGGGTAAGGCTACACGTAAGTCTTGTAACAAGTGTGTTGAATAGCAGCGACGAATATAACATATAGTCGTAATGGCAGCACATATTAAAATGCATCCTAATAGGAGTACGCTAATTACTGATAGGTACATTGGATGAGGAAGAGAGAACGTTGGTTTAGAGGATCTTTTCTCAACAAATTGCATCATGTGTTTTACTTCCTGCTCTAGAAGTTTAGTTGTAGACCAGCTATTATTACTCGTAATATGGCGATGCACATTAAGAACGGAAACATTATTAAGAAATGAGGTGTTGTTATATAAAATGATTACAGAGGGAGCATGTTGGTTAGTAGCACTACCTGTTAGTGAGAATCCAGGACAAACGATGGTGTGACCAGGTGTTACGTTGACGAGAGCGACTGGTGGAAGAATGAGCTGCTCATTGAGACTTGACACTTGGTGAGAGAGTGGTTGAAGATCGGACTTTCTAACTGTTACACAATGAAGTGATTGGAGGGAAGAAGTGATCCAAAGGTTGTCGTGGAGTTGACGAAGAAAGAAAGGGGAAGAAGGAACTGGTTCCATGTGACATCTTGATAAGGGTAATCCGTTGAGAATTTGTCCTAAACAAGAAGTATTTGACATAAAACGAAATGGTGGAGTGTTTCTACAAGTTGTCATTAATCTGAAATCACATCCAAGATCGTCGTGATCATACCATTCGATAGTGATATTATTCGACGGATTGATGGCGAAGTATCTCGGGAGTTTGGATAACTGGAGAGTTTCATTCTCGTGAAAGAATGGAATGGTGATTAATTTATAAAGGAGAAAGAGAGGTGCATCAGATCGAGGAACTGCGAAGAAACTAGTAATTACTAATCGTCCAATTTCAGAGAGATTAGGGGTGGAGTAAAGTGTAGTAGGAATGAAGTCGATTTGTTGACGAATAAGCAGGCGGGTAATGATATGTGCTAGTGGTAAAGATCCAAGAGATGGATTAAAAGTTAAATTACCTTGACGAATAATACTATATACGACTGTGTGAAGATCGGATGGAGCTAGAAACGCCAGAGTGAGCTCATTTCGGAGAATTTGTCTGAGTGCTTGGTACAGAAATGAATGTTGAAATTGTATTTGTAGGAATGAGAGGCGATTTTGTAAGGCATTAATAGTATCTGAATGATTGTCTACTATGGGAATAATAGAGTCAAGGAGTCTTTGAGTCATTTGTAATTGTTCTGTTAATTGAATCTGATCTGACTGAATTGTCACTAGTTGAGCTCCATGAATCTTTGTGGTATCGAATAGCTCAGCGAGTGATTTCCCCACAAGTGCAACTTCTTTCTGTAGACCTGAGACTTGTATGGCGCTCGAAGCAGACATTCCGAAAGTAATTGCTCGTAAGCCTAAACCGATAATAAGAGGTATGAGACGTTTCGTTCGTTGAACGGTTATATGACAAGTAGGAATTTTTTCGGCAGCTGAAAGTGGAAGGAAGCGACACATGCTATTAGTCATAGGGAAAATAGCTGAATTGTGAATAATCATTTCAGATGGAGTATAGGGACCGATATAATTTAGGAACAGGCCAGATTCAGGATGAGCGATTGTAGTGTTTTTGGAGAATATATTTTCAGAAAACGTATGAAATACAGTGAGCAAGAATATCAGTAAGAAGAAAAAAGTCATTCTGGAGTTATGAAACGTAGTACTTACAACGTGTTGTTTTCTTTTCTTTTTTTCTTGTTCGATTTAGACATATCCTTTTTTTGATTATTTCGGCTTTTTATTATAACCGTAATATCAGTGAAGAAACAAAAAAACAATGCGTGATAGTGTAAGGAAGATGAAAAAGTGGATGAATGACCCGCTATGGATAAGTTAGAGAGAGGGAGAGATTTAATTTCTTTTTTTTTTTTTTTGAATGCAGTGCTTGTCCGGCTGATAAGTTATATCTAATGATGGATAGGATTGGTGAAAGAGAGTGAAGGATGGGGTCAACAATAAATGTACGATTGATCATTGAACTCTTGACAGACAACTGCTTAACAGACATATTGCAGATTGATGGGAATATCTGCAGGATTAGAAACATGTTTGACAGTTGAAATATACACAGTGTCTAATGTGATAGATTTGCAATGGATCGAAGCGAAGGTCATTCTTTCTCAGTGTGACCGGATATATAGGAAAGGAAAAGGTTATTTAATGAACGTTGCATGAACGGGAGGTCATTGTTATGATATAGATGGTGCTATAGATTCAATCGGTTAGGTCGTCTATGTATTCGAATCGGACGTTGATATAATAATGAACGGGATAAAGAGGAGGACGGAGAGAGGTCATCATTGTTTGACGGGCGAGAAGGAATCATATTTGTAGCATTGCTTGTATCGATACTCATCAATGGTTGTGGGTGTGTATTCAAAAGTTTGATCTGGTGTATTTCGTGTATTGTTGACACGAATATCATTCGGTTCATAAAATGGTTTAAGTCGATCAATGTTGGTGACTCCTAAATTTACTCCGTCAGAAAGACGCTGAATAATAAAAGAAGAGGGAGTAAGAACTTGAGTGATGCGACAAGGACCTTGATAATGAGGATCAAGTTTTCCATGTTTTAATACTGAAGGAATGCTAACCCAAACAAGTTATCCTTCTTTAAAAGAACGTTTAGAACTATGACTGTCATACTGATGTTTCTACTGAAGTTTGCGTGCTTCACTATGTTCTTGAGCAAATTGATGAGATGTAAGTAATTGATGACGAAGTTGTTGTTTATAATTTTAGATTTCTGAGGATAGAGATGTAGGAAGTAGAGGTACATCATGAGTCGGTGTGGTTAGGAGTAGGTCTAGAGGTAATTTAGGATCACGTCCAAAATTAAGATATGCTGGTGTATCACCTGTTGTTTCATTTACTGAAGTTCGAATAGAAAAAGCAAGTTTCGATAGATGTTGATCCCATGATTGTGGTTTTTCTTGAGCATATTGTGCTAACATTGGTTTAAGATTTCTATTGACTCGTTCAGTCATATTTGTCTGCGGATGGTAATTAGAAGTATTTTTATTTTTAATGCCTAGGGAGGAACAGATATTAGTGAATAGTTCAGAAATGAACTGAGGACCATTATCGGAAAGAATATAGGTAGGACAACCCCAACGACATATAATTTCATTAACTAGGATATTAGCGATATCAGATGAAGTCGTTGGTCTAAGAGGAAATAGTTCTACCCATCGAGTAAAATAGTCAACAACTACCAGTAAGTATTGTTTTTGACATTGTGTAATAGGAAACGGTCCCATAATATCCACTCCAATAGTATGCCATGGTTCTCAAACGATGTGCATTTGTAATGGAGAGTTCATTATTTGATTAGAATATTTGAATTTCTGACATGACTGACAACTTTGAATATACTGAGTGACATCTTTCCGCATAGTATCCCAGTAGACTCGGCTTGAGAGACGATAAAGATTTTTTTCTCTACCACTATGTCCGGCTGTCGGATGATCATGTGTCCAAGATAGGAGTTCTTGTTGCATAGATTTCGGAATAACGAGTAAGTGAGGAAGTCCGACTGATCGTTGATAGATATTTTTTGATGGAGATCGACATTTATAGAGAATACCGTTAATTAGAGTAAAAGAGGGATAGGGATTATTAATGAAGGGATGACTGAGACCTGATAATTTATCAATGATAATATGAAGGTGAGGGTCTTTATATTGTTCGATTCGGATATTTTCGAGGAGAGTACAATTGTCCCAAAAATTGAGTGTATATGTATGTGTTGTTCCATTTAACACAGCTAGATTAGGGAGAGGATAACGAGATAATGAATCAGAGTTTGTATTTGTTTTTCCTGGTTTATATTTGATGCTAACAATGTTAAATGCTGATAGACTTATTGCCCATCGAGCTAATCGTCCAGACGAATCTTTTGTTTCAAGAAGCCATTGTAGTGCCCTATAATCAGATCGAATATAGATTTTTGTACCTTCTAAATAGGGCCGAAAATGTTTGGTGGCCCAATAAATAGCTAGAGCTTCTTTTTCTGTAGGAAAATAATTTCTCTCAGCTGTTGTTTGAGTTCGGCTAGCGTAAGCAATAACAAATTTTTTATTATCATATTCTTGAGTAAGGACAGCACCAAGACCATAATCACAGGCATCTGTTTCCAAAATGAAATGTTCATTAAAATTTGCAGTTCGAAGTATAGGAGCCTGAGTAAGTGCAGTTTTTAATCGTTCAAAGGCTATAGTACATTCAACAGACCATTCTATGTTATTTGGTGGACGTTTAGAATTTTGATGAGAGCGTATTTTAGCGAGGAGAGGTTCGGATATTTTAGCGTAATCTTTTATAAATTTTCTGTAATATCCAGTTAAGCCTAAAAATGATTGAATATCTTTTAATCGTGTAGGTTGAGGAAAACGTTTCACGGAGTCGATTAGACCGGGATCATGTTTAATACCGTCAGGAGTAATAATATGTCCTAAGTACTTTAATTCTTTTCTACAAAAATTACATTTTGAGGCTTTAAGAGTAAGTCCAGCAGTTTTGAGACGATCAAAGACAGAGGATAAATCTTTAAGATGTTGTTCAAAGGTGGAAGAGAATACGACAATATCATCTATATAGACAAGACATGACTGCCATTTTATTCCAGCTAAGATAAGATCCATTAATCTCTGAAATGTGGCAAGAGCATTAGACAGTCCAAAAGGCATGACTAAAAATTCATAGAGGCCGCGATGAGTAATAAACGCTGTTTTATTACGACTTTCAGGATCAATTTCAACCTGCCAGTATCCCGATCGAAGGTCAAGAGTAGATATGAATTTTGCTTCCCTGAGTGAATCAAGGGTATCGTCAACTCGAGGCATAGGATATGCTGTACGAATTGTATTAGCATTCAACTTTCGATAATCAACACAAAATCTGAGTGTACCATCTTTTTTAGGGGATAATACGATTGGAGATGCCCAAGGACTATGTGAAGGAGTAATATGACCAGCTTGGAGCATCTCTTCTAGTTGTTGATCGACTATAGCTTTTTAGATGGGGGGAGACGATATGGTTGAGTGTTTGCGGATTGTGTTCCTGGTTGAAGTTCGATTACGTGTTTAACAAGATGAGTGCGACCAAGTTTCTCGGTGAAAACTTGTGGATATTGTTTAATAAGTGTAACTAGTTTAGCTTTTTGAATATCGTTTAAGTCAGAATAGGATAAATCAGGGAGACATATTTGTTCTTCTTCAATAGGATGAGGTGTATGAGATAATCTTGATAAGCTATTCAATTGATGTTCAGTCAATAGTTCCATAACGGCTAGTTTTTGTTGAGGATGAACCTCGATAAAATCATGAGAAAAATTTGAGATTTCAATAAAAAGTGATTTACTTGGTGAGATAAGACCATTGGCTACACGAGGATTTTCATGAAGTGAAGAAACGGAATATGTTTCATCTGGAGAAAATTTAGAGAATGGTTTCGTAGGTTGAACAGGGATAATCATAGAGTGGTATGGAGGTAAAGAATGTGCTTCAATAGCTGCTAAAGAGTATGATGACGAATTGGAAGAGGTAAGAGAAGAAGTGTTACACTGATCGAGAGATGGCGATTGAGATGCAAAAGAATTTGTATCTTGTGACTGCTTCGGAAAAATAATTTGATCGTGTGTACCTCCGACATGAATATCATGTTTCCGTAAAAAATCCAAGCCGATGATACAGAAATGTTGTAGATGGGGTAGAATATAAACTGGATGTAAAAATGTCTTATTGAAAAAAGAAATGTTCAATTCGAAGAGACCGTGTGTACGTAAAGATTGTCCATTAGCACAACGTACTGTTAGGGATGGAGATTTAATAGGGATAAGTTTGCATGACTTTTGCTCGATTTGACGAAATGCCTCTACACTAAGTACAGTTAAATTCGATCCAGTGTCAATAGTAAATTTTGTTGAGTACCCTTCTAATGTACCATTGACATGTAATAGTTGGGAAGAAGAAATGAAAGAATTATGGATAGAACTAATAGAGAGAGAGGATTTTTTATTTAGATAATTTTCGGAGTCCCGCCACCTCCCATCAGTAAGACTCCGTCTTAGTTTTTTAAATTTGAAGCATATCTGGAAGATTGAGTACGAGTACATTGGGATGCTAAATGTCCTGGAATATTACATTTATAGAAGATAATATGAGATTGACGAGAATTAGATGTGTGGGAGCGAGTTGACGAATGAAGAGTAGCTGAAATAGTAGTATTAGATTTTTCAATATGCACAGTTTGTTTGGAACGGGAAAAATCAATAAGTTCAGCTTCTCGGGCTCGCTCAAGAAAATTTTCAAGAGTAGGATCGCTAAGAACACCGATCAGAGGGACTAATGCAGGTCGAATTTTAATAAAAAGGTGTCTAAGAAGATCGCGCTCCGTTTCGTTCGGTTTATGTTCTGACCAAAGACTGCGTAAAACGAACGAGGAATTCGTTGATTGATTCATCAGGTCGTTGAATGCATCTATTCCATTCTTGCTCGATTTGTGCAAGTCGCAACGGTGAACTAAATTGTTGTAAAAAAAAGAGTTTGAAATGTATCCCAATGGAGAGGAGGACTATGGCTAGTGATGATTTGAGTATACCACTCAAAAGCAGTACCTTTCAAAAATTGGCCTATATTTTGAAGTAACATTTCTTTGTCCCATCCATAAGATGAGTTGGTATATTGATGGAGTTGTAAGAGGAATGGACGTGGTTTTTCTTCAGTTTTGCCTGAAAAAGAAGGAGCTATTGTAGGTTGTTGGATGATGACTGTTTGTCGTGCATGGAGAGAGAGTAAGGTGTCTTGTGGAGAAGGAACATTTAGTAAAGAATGAGAGTGTATGGAGTTATTAGAAGAAGAGGGAGGTAATGGAGTTGTTGGAGGGGGTACGGATGGGGAAGTACGAACAGCAGCAAGTGTTGCACGAATTTCAGCCGTTAATTCGGATATTTGTGTAGAAACATAAGTACGAAAGTCCTGAAATTGAGTATCTAGGTGTTGAATCGTGTCATCTAATTGCTGATATTTTAATTCATGAGCCGTGGAGAGATGATTTACTTTCTCATTGAAATTCTGTTCGAATTGAGTTACTGTGGACTGTACGGTGGTCAACGTGGTTTCGATAGAAGTTGTGCGTGTTGCTTCAAGTTGTAGTTCATCTCGAAGACTAGTGAGATATTTATGTAATTTCTGCCCGTCAGACTCGGTCATAGTTAAAATAGGATCGTGCCAACGTAAGACAGAAAAATAGAAGACTACTAATAATAGTAAAAAGAAAAGAAAAAAAACCAAAGAACAAGATGAAAAATTTCGAAAAAAATAATGTGCTGAAGTGAAGGGAAAATGTAACCAAAATTCGATTGGTGTGATCGCCACGTGTGATGGAACGACTCACTCGTTCTGAGTTTATTTCAATAATGAATAACGATAATATATGAACGCAGTATATATATTCCAGCAGAGAGAAAAACGAGAGAGAATGATTAATGAATAGAACATTAGAACATGATCGATGTGCCCGATCGGGGTCATGAAGAGTAGTGACGGGTATAATCCGTCACATCTATCTTTTCTTCTCAACGGTGAAAACCGCAACTCTCTATGGTGATTTTCACAAGAGTTCTTCAAAAAATACTCATCCTTGCTTTTTAAATGGACAAATCTACTTGCGGGTGTAGGATGTGGGTTTGGTTTCGGCTTTTCTAGTTTGATATTTTGCATTTCGATATTTTTCTAATTAGACATTTTTTTCGGTCTTTTCTTGTCGAGATTTTAGGTTTCGAGATTATGCTCTTCGATCTTATATCTTTCAGACAATTAAAGCTACCCAAATGGCTTATGCCAATGTCGTATGCTCTTCAAGTGATGTGAGCCGAAGGATTTATAATAGTACACTGTAAAAAAAAAGGTTCTTTACCGAACCTTGAAAAAAGGTTCGGTAGATGACGAAAAGCGTGCAAATGCGTTCAAAGTTTCAAAAATAGAATAAAACAATCCACGGAACCTTTAAAGGATCTTACCGTATACCCAAGTGAAGATCCTTTTTTCTTCGAAACCTTTTTAAGTTCCGTAGAGAGAAAAATAGGTTTTGTAGGAAACTACGGAACCTTTAGGGTTTTGTATTAAACCTCAAGGTTTCGCACTGGGTTTTGTGTAAAACCATTATATTTATTGCGAAACCTTAAAGGTTCCGTATTTTCCTACAAAACCTATTTTTTTCTCTACGGAACTTAAAAAGGTTTCGAAGAAAAAAGGATCTTCACTTGGGTACACGGTAAGATCCTTTAAAGGATCCGTGGATTTTTTTATTCTATTTTTGAAACTTTGAACGCATTTGCACGCTTTTCGTCATCTACCGAACCTTTTTCAAGGTTCGGTAAAGTACCTTTTTTTTACAGTGTAAGAGTATGTCAAAAGCTTGTTAGCACAATTTCTTTGGGGCTGAAATGTGGAAATTACATTTCTATTTTAGTTTCACTAAACTAATGATAAAATAAGCAATGCTCAAGTTCTCTAAAATGCGACTGTTCTTTTCCAATTGTGATCAATTGTCAGCAAATGCTGTCTTTTTTTATTCAGTGCTTCTAACCGAAATTTCTTCTGTTTTTTTTCTGGAGTTGCCAAAGTATTCAGCAGAGCATGAGAGAGGAGAGGAAAAAAAGCCGGAAAACTTCGATTTGAAACTTGCACTCACTTTGTTCTTCGAAAATATATGTGAGTTCCACAAAATGGAAAAGATATATGATTTATATCGAAGGACTCACTACTCAAACATATATGCCAAATTTGAAACTTGAATTCAATTATTGAACTATTCAATTATTCAATAAATGAATAGTTGAATACAAGTTTCAAGCGTGATATATATGCAAAACATATGCAGTTTCGTGGAATTTTACTATATCTTCTACAGTATCGTACGAATAGAGAAAGCATAAGTAAGATTTAGGCATCTCATAGATCTTATGTACAATCATTATAAGTTTTCCTAGCGAAAAGATTTGGAAGTGTCTTAGTGAAAAATATTCCTAAGAAAACAACGATTATTTTTGATTGCTGATGCAAAAGTCTGACTTTTTTGGACGAATCTCTCACTTATTTCCAGAGCGTACGATTAAAATCGAATAAAAATTTATAAACCTATTGCAGAAATAATTTGCTGTATCGATTGTAATTGAATTTTCATCAACAATCAATTTTAATCTACTCAATCCACTAAAATCTCAATGAGAAAACCCAATCCAGTGATTTTTCACTTGATTGTCAACGATTATTAGAATAATAATTTGATTTTAATCGTTAATCGGTTTTAATCTTAATCAATGACAACTAAATTCATGGATTGTCTAATGACTATCGAAAATCACCAGTGTATTAATTTTATTTTAATAATCAATTATTTCCAATCTTCTCAATCAATTGTCTACATATTAGAGAATACTAGTTATGTGTTTAGACAATTTGAGAATTTGGACTAATGGGCAGCATTGTAATTGAAATATGAATTACTACTACAACTACGGTTGATAATGATGTCATATAGTATTTTATTAAGATAGCAGTTCTAGAATAAACACGATATACATGGTTATGAACAGTACAAAGAGCTTTATCCAAGATGGGATGTGGATGTGGGGATGAGTGTGGGTGTGGGTGTTGGTGTAACGGTGGAGCTGAGCGAGGTTCGTCTTTTCATACAAGTCCACACAACCACTCATACCTACACCCATACCAATCATGAAGATAGACTACTATAATCAGCTAAATCAGTTAAATAACTGTATTCAATATCTTTAACCTGAAGATGTGGTAAACGGTCGTTTAGTGCTGCCAGTTTTTGTAGTGAACATAAGAAGATATTTATGACATTCAGAAATAGCAGAACATGTTCTATTTATTTATTTTTTATACAGGCACCACCAACAAACAACTCTTATCTTTTCACCCTGCAAGTTTGTTTTTTTTCATTTGCTGGAGATGAATTTTTGATCATTGGAAAGTGATAATCTAATTAAAGTATAGAAATTTTTGAGAAAACTTTCATGTAAATAGAGGTTTTTTGTCCCTAGACCAGGAAGTGCTGTTATTAACGCTCTGACGAAAACAACTATCTTGACGCGGTCCATGGCGTCGTTTTTGATCGTTTACTATCACTTAATATATCCGAGACGAACAATTTGAATAATATCATAGGCACAAATTTTGATTTTTAAAGACTATTTGAACAAGTCGAGTGAAAAGACTTTTTTTAATCGTTTTTTCATCATAAGTTTACACTAATTGATTACACTGGGAGATATCAAAAGCTATAATACTTCAGGAATCAAACCTCGAACTGGATATTTTCTAAATCGGAAACATGAGTTGCTGTTAGAGGCTGAAACTTTTATAGAATTGCTATGTTAGTAAGCATGACTCACGGATCTAATTATATGGTTAATAGTTTCTATCTGGCGTGAATAGAATAATCTGTCTAACTTTCTTCATGGTCTAGTGAGTACATTTATAATGAAGGATGGGTTATATTCAAGATTTTCATTTGCTATTACATGAAGTATTGTATTTGTACGATTAAAGAATGTGATTGCATTAGGGTAGTGATGCAGCGAGTAATAATCAACTTATACGAACAACATACCTATCTCGTTTTCTTGATGGATTGTGAGAAAGTCTTGACTTTTGTTAGCTTTGTCTCATACAAAGTGCATCCAGCATTGGCTAGTGTTTTATGAATTTCCCAATGATACTGATGTTGCTGGAAATTCTACGAGCAAGATCGTCCAGGTATGACATAGCGTCTTAAGTTGATCGAGTGAGTCTATCGAGAAGAGGCAGCACCTTGCAAACGGTTATACAAAGCACCGCATAGATAATCGACAAGATATAAAATATGGAAAGACGATTAGAGAGGTTATGAAAGCTGTATCACAACATTTCTGAAACATTCTTAATGACACATAATTCTTTATTATTGCTATGTTCAAGAAGTCAAAGCGTATCATAAGCTATTCTCACAAAAAGTTAAGTAACATTCATCGAATAGTGATTCAGTTGTCTGTGGATTTGAAGATGATGGAATTTTATGTTAGTAAAACTGTTTGTAGGATAATCAAAATCGAATTTGTATAGTCTATTAGCCTCTTATAGATACAAGGATGTCATTGAGAACTGCATGAAAATTTTAATTCTCGATCTTCTTCGCATGAAGTATTATCAAAAATAGGCTTTCCCCTTTCATATCGAAAATTTTGCCACGACTCGAGATGAAAACCAAAAGATCGCATTAGAATAGAGAACCTAAATCATTTTGAAGTTCGAGATGCATATTTTAAAACTTTGAGACCAATATTCGAGTGAATATCTTGAAAGAAAAATTTGTAAATGGAAAATTGTAATACTAAAATAAGAAAAGTTTGAAAAAATATAAGATTCAGATTTTTGCATTTCGTCTTCTTTTTTCAGTATATTTGACATAGTGAGGCTTGTGAGTATCGTAGAAAATTCCGACATAGCCGCAATCTCTTGAAAGATAATTGACTGTTATTAATACATAGCCTTGTATTCATTGTCTACAAGTAACAGTTCTTTATGTAATTCATACACAAATGAGACAATCATCACTTTTTGTATTATCTATCTGCAATCACCCTAATCATTCAATGTTCAGCAGTCTCCATTTGATTACGACGGACTTGGAAAACTTCCATTCGATTGTTTAAAGTTGCTATGTTAGTACTGGACTAAATTAATCCTTAACAAAATACTTGAAAAGATGCCGTATCCAGTGAATTATGGTGTAAATTAGTTTTCAATGAATCAGGAATTTCTCTGATTATAATGTCATTCGAAGCATTGAAATGCGCCAGAGACAGATTGATGTGAATTTTTACATACAGAACCTAATACCAGCAAAAGAATTTAGAAAAACACCTTACTCAATCGCATGAAATCATTGAGTTTTAAATTAGTCGAAGCATCATCAAGAACAGACAAAGAAAAAGGACTTGAAGAATATGTATTCTAAAATATAGAGAAGTAACTACTTTAGGATTGGTCAATCTACCTCGCAATCTAACAATAAATCAGTACCAAAATATACATCAATAGAGTCTATAATGAAGAGCAAATATTAAAATAAATATTGAAAAAGAATACTGAAACCAATCTGTCATCAATAAAAACAGCGGTACTTTGGCTTTAGTTACCGCTGCTTACATACTAGAATTAATAATCTAGAAAATATAAGAGACTATTTTGCGGAAATTCATTCAGAGTATTTCATTCCTTGAAACATGTTATTGTTGTTATAGACATGCATCGAAAAATCGCAGTAAGATAGAGAAAAAGCTATTGTCTGCTTCACTGATATCTGTCATTTGTGCTTAAATTTTAAGTTTCACCAAAAATAAAAGGTAATGTAGGATTTTTTTCTTTTTTTAATATTTAATGTATTGAACATTGATTGTTACACAAAGCAATAGCTACATGTTTATTCTCCTGCATATTTTCTTCAATTCTGCTTTCCTATACGTTAATCAAGAACAACACAGAATTCTTTTCCTCGGCAAATCAGATTCTTCTAAAGTGCTCATTCTGGTATACTAGCTCAGATCCTATTTATTGACACTAATTAGCAGATGTATACGAAGTTCTTTTCTTTCACAAAATAGTCCATGTAAACCTATTACAAAAGTAAAACTCTATCATTATTTGTCTTTAATTTCATACATTTTTCTCTTGTTACAGATACCAGAAAGATTATCTTCCATACTGTGCATATATTCCAGCATTCATCCACTCAACGACAATTAATAACTATGAGTGACGATATTGAATTGCCAGTTCGACGTAAGAATCCTCGATTGATAATTCCCGATATTGAAGAGTCAAAAACAATTGATCCTATTATCGGCTATGCTGAAGAACCAATTCTTCCGCTCGATGGCGCATGTACACCGTTGATTCCAATTATCTTTAACATATTACATTATGTTTCCATTGCTCTGGAAAACACTCCAGATAATCCATCAGATAGTCTGACACGCAACGAATCAGCTGCAATTTGTCTCTACACGATGGAGTGGAATGACGGCCATAGAAGTCTTTATGCCATTCTCAATGAAACACTTAGAACAGCTGATCACGAATACCTGCGACCTTGGTTCAAATATTTGAAGCTTTTTCTCACTGCTTTGGTCAAAATGCCATCCACACCTCAACAGACGGTTTGGCGTGGAATACGTCAAGATCTTAGTTCCGAATTTTTCCGAGGAACTTCGGTGATCTGGTGGAGTTTCTCATCTTGCACAACAACGCTCACTGTGTTAGAGAATAATCTCTATTTTGGTTATGAAGGTCCAAGAACTCTTTTCTCTATTGAAGTCTTCAATGCCAAGAATGTGCGAGATCATTCATTTTTTCGCAATGAAGACGAAGTTTTATTGCTGCCAGGAACATACATGGAAGTACAATCACAATTGAATCCAGCACATGATCTCCATATCATTCATTTGAAACAAATGATACCAGACAATATATTACTCGAGCCGCCATTTGAAGGTATGTTAAAAGCCTAAGAGATAAGAAGCCTTAGCAATGTTATTGTAAAAGTTACGATCTGATACTGTTAATGAATTCAAAACTTCAAAATTTTCGGCTTCAGGCAAAAGTCATCGTTAACTCTGTAACAGAGAAATTAGCTATTTGTCAAACTCATATACGGTTTACATGTCATCTATGTGTTCATTTCAAAGACTTTCCATTATATTATTGTTAATCATTCAGATTCCATGCGAATTATGCGAGTGCCTTTTCTTTTCGAAATACTTTCCTAAACTGTGATCATTCTGACAAGACATTCTCTATCTTTCTTTGGCATAGTATGTTCTTGTCTGTCGCTCAATTACATATTCTATCCTGTAGTTAGATGTATGTAAGTGACCTATGAGTATAAGTCATGTTCATGAGATATTTATGGGTTTCTATTGGGCGTCCAGACAGCAACAAATTCATATGTCGGACTGATTTTTCGATTAAGTAATAAATAGCTTCAAAAGTAGAAATTAGGCTCATTTCTGACCTTTTACATATAGCTAGAGAAGACCACTGAGTGATTGATTATATTATTATGAGTCTCGATTAAGGTCTCATCTGTCTACATGACTAGATGAAATAGAACTTACTACAAAAGCAAAATATCAAAAAATGAAACAATTGCAGAGAATCCAAACAGTCACGTACCTTAAAAATTGTAATTTTCATATTATTTTAACAAAATAACCTTTTTCCTGACGAGAGAAGAGTTTCAACTTATTACTCATGTGTAAAAAGAATTAGTAGCCCGAGTTGCCACCTCTTCTGCTTTTTGAAGATTTTCTGCTTTTTTTCTGTCATTTCTGCTTTCTGAGCATTTTTCTGCTTTTTTAAAATATTGTATTATTTATATTTTTAATCAAGATTTTTGCTTTTAAAAGATTTTTTCATCACTATAACAAAGTTCTTGTCCATACTTACTAGAGATGTATTGAGAATGAATAGTGCCTAATAAGGATAACAACTTCTCTGTTGCAAAAATCTACAAAACTCGACGAGATTCTTATGGAGAATTGCTGAAGTTGATTTCATTTAGCTGTGCGTACAATCAAACAGATTGACTGAGATTAGACCTTTTACTTGCTTATCGGTCTGGTTGGTTGTATTCATAGCTAGATGAAATCAAGCTAATTAATTCTAAATACAAATTTGATTG